TAATGTTCTTGGATATTATAAGGCTGTACTAATGTTAGGAATGTGTTTCCTAGCATCAATTCTATACTTGCAGTCATCTCTATTTTAGCATGAGCTGTTATAGTTATTTCATGTTGTATCTTATTTTTGTCCTCTATTTTAAGAGGTACTTTAGCATATTCATGCACTGTGGTCACTGCACCATTAAAATTGGAATATGTATATGGTTTAATGAGTTCAAATCTTTGTAGGTATGGGATCATATCAGTATGGATATGTGTCACTTCCGCCCCTATATCAATTAGGATAGAAATGTTATGTCATTCCTTTCCATCGTAATAATCTCCCTTTATTTTAAAATGTTTAGAGGGAATCTTTAAGTTATCCAATACCATTTCATATTTGATACTAGTTGTCCTGATTAAGACTTCCTTATCCTTCTTAGGGTAGCTTAAAGCTCCTAAGTCTATACTATTTCTATGGCTTAGTTCAGGTTCTATTTTAATTAGTAGTCTTCCTAATTCATATGCCATTAATCTAGGTTTTTCTCTTCCTCGTATTAGGAGTGGTTTTTCACTAATGTCCATTTTCCATTCCTTCGGTAGCTCTATTTCAGTGATCATTTTTGTTTTTTGAATTTGTCCTATTTCAGAGAACATAAGATCTAATTTAATATATTTTTTATTGTAAAAAGATTAGACTAATGATAATTGGTCAATGCGTAACTTATCATATAGTAAATACTATATGACATTGATCCATCTTTCATAAAATTTTCTCTAACAAACTCATGTGCCCAACTTAGTGTCTTATTGATATTTCTATCATTAATATTTACAGCATGCTTTGGATATACTGTGAACATAAGTTTTTGATAACTTAGGTTACCTTGCACTAATCCTAGGATAGCATCCTTTCTATCATTAAGTCTATTATCTATAAAAGCTATCTTTATTGGCGTGTCTATACCTTCTCTAAATTTTGCTTTAATAAAGATTTGAATTCCTCCTATATGGATAAATCCTATCTTTGATCTATCAGATTCTTTAATTTTTTTATAATTTACTTTCTATTTCTACCTTGATGAGCAAAGGTATGTTTATTATTCCTATTGTATTCTTAATAGGAATGCTATATTCTTTAATTGATATTCCATAATAAACTATATCTTTCCTTTTAAAAGGATTATTAATAATGGAACTTGACTTGAATCCCTTTTCTACCGCAAGGTCCATCCCTTTTTGTCTAATTCTCTTGTACTTACTTTTATCGAACTCAGTTATTTAATTGTATTCTCCATATCCTTCATATTCTTCAAAATAAGCTTCTCCTTCCTTAATCGGATTCATCATTGTTGGAAGTATCTAAACTTTCTACTTCATATATGGTTTCATCACTATCTATAGAATTGATCTCTAGTTCACTTAACTCTTCTTCATAGATTTTTAAATTTTTAGTTCTTTCTCTTTTGTATCTTTTAGGACATTCATTTGTATAGTGTCTTTCTTCTTTACATAGCCAACACGTACACAAGATTCTTTATATATTTTCTTGGTGCTTTTGTTTTCTTAAAATATCTCTTCTTCTTTCTAGAAAATTTATTCTTATTAAACTTTTATTTATTACTTCTAATTTTAAACCTCATATTTTTCTTTTTGTAGTTTGAAGAATTTCATCCTAACTTGATTGGATCACTATTGTTAAGACAACATAACCCTTTTTTTATACTTTTTCTTAATTTGTTATAACTATAAGTTTCCATAGCATTCATTTATTTTGGTTTTGGCAAACCAAATCCTTAGGCCTAATGTATCAGTTTTATCTTTTACATAGGTTTTATAGGCTTCTGCTACCTTAATTCTCCAAGGATTAGGGATTTTTCCAAAAAATAATTCTTAGGCCTTTAGCCATTCCATGATTTGAGGCTTTATAATAGTATTTCTGGAATAAACAAATATATTGGTCTAACTCACAAAGATTACATAATTCTAAATTCTATAGATTCCATAATACTATTCTTCCAATTCTGGCGTCTTCCTTTTCTTGATTTTCTTCCCAATTTTCTCCTAAAGATTCTTTTTTTTCATAGCCGATTCAAATCTAGTTATTATGTCTTGGATTGCTTCATTTTCATTTACTTCTTCAGAAGCAGGATTTCCACTTATAATGTTATTACTTTCTTCTTCATTCAGACCAACAAACCAGTCATGAACTATCCCTTTAAAGGTGACTTCTATAAATCTAATTGCTTGTAAGGCATTCTAGTTTTTATTTGCTATGGCTATCCAAGTGGCTTGTGCCCAATCACTAAGGACTTTTTTGGGGTCAGTAACATAGTCTAGATCTAGCCATATACCATTGGTACTAATAATTTGCTTTTTAACTCTAACTGGGGTTTCAAGTTTAGATTGATTTCCAAATTTCTTTCTATCATATACTATTTCATATATATGATTTTTATTTCTTCTGTAACTTTGACCAGTGCTAGATTCTACCCCTTGTTGTAGTGGGAATTCTGTTGGAGTTATGTTAGGTTGCCTTTCACCTTTTTCTTCTTCACTTTCTTCTTCCATTTCTTCCTTTCCCTTACTAGTATTCATTTTCATATTTTCCAGTCGTTTAGTAGTATTAGTAATCTGTCTGCGCAGATTGTCTAATTCTTCTATATTTTCTTCCTCTAGTAATCTTTGTTCTAATTCTTTCAATTTTTCTTCTTCAATTTTTAGCACAAAAAGTGTTATTCCCTTTGACTTAGGTTTTTCTATAAAAATTGTTGGGATAATCTTAAATCCTTTATTTCTTTGTATAATATTTCATCTATTACAAACTGATATTATAGTATTTTGTAGGTCCTTAAGTTGAGTTTGGGTTTTATAAAAATTCTTATCTATATCACTTTCCAATTGTGGAATTATTTTATTATACATTTTAAAGCTTTTATGGCAAATTTTTCAGAGATCACTTTTAATATCTTAAGAATTTCTTCTATTTTGATTTCTAGATGTTTAATTCGAGATATCATGGTTTCAAATCTTTGATAGACCTTAATTTTTCTTTTATTTGCTTCAAATCTTTAGAATTTTTAATTCCATTTATTTTGTCTTTAATGGACTCAAACTCTTGTGAGAGGGATTTTCCCATTTCTTTAATTCTTCTTAAAGTATTTTCATTGATAGTTTCTATTTCTATAATCTTATCAATGATAATTATATCTTCTCTTCGGATCATGTTTTTACCCACTATATACATGTTTAATTTCATTTATATGTTCATTATTCATATTGATTTCAATAAATCAACTATTTCTCTTAATTTATTAATTCTCTATTCTCTAAATCTAATCTGTTTATTATATAGTGCTAATATAGAGTTTACTCTTCCATTTTCTTGTCTTAACTCGACTAAGCAATTTTCTTTCATTTCTGCTAGAACTCTTTCTTCAAATTGAGCCACTTGCTCAATTTGATGACAAATATTTAGTATTGTTCTTGTATTTGCGATCATATCTCCCATGAAGACTTTCTTGGGGTTTAACCATTGTCTCATGTTTTACTTGAGGACTGATCCTATAATATTTCAATTTTATATAACGCCTTTTAACGGCTTTAGTTACTCCAGGGGCTGATATGCCTCTGATCTCTGAGTACAGGGGGTGTTTTGCCACCATACTGAGTTCGAGGGCTTAAAAGCCACCATATTGCCGGTTTAGGCGTTGTTTTGCACCTTTTGCCGAGATGAAATCCATTCGGAAAAGGAGTCCTAATTTCGAACTATATGATATTAAGGGCAATGCTATAGGAACCGATGGGTCTCCAAGCAGATTAGTCCCTGTCGTTTTCTCTCTCTCTCTCTCTCTCTCTCTCTCTCTCTCTCTCTCTCTTTAAATTTAAATTTTAAAATTTTTATTTTTTGGTTTTAGAATTTTAATATTTAAATTATTAAATATCTAAATTTGTAAATATTAAACCTTAAACCTTAAACTTTAAAACTATAAATCTTAACACATTAAACACTAAATTTAAAAAAATTTGCATTATAAAATATATAATCTAAAAAATCTAAATTCTAATATCATAAAATATAAAACTTAAAAAATTTAAACCCTAATTAACATAATAAACATTTAATTTTTAAAAAATCTAAACTCTAAAAAATTTAAATTCTAACACCTTAAACCTCCAACCCTAAAAATGTAATCTAATCCTTAACATTCCAATCACTAAACCCTAATGCTCTAAATTAAAATAATCTTGTTTGATTTTAAAGATTTAAATTACGATCTTTTAAATATAGGGACTTAAAAGTTATAGTCCTATAAACTTGAGGGCTAGTTACGCCCTTTCTCAAAACCAGGAATCAAACAGACGTGGCATTGCCACGTCCGCTCGGCTTTCTGTCGGCATGATAGGCTTCGGCCACCATAGTATGCCACGTCCGCTCGGCCTTCTGTCGGCATGACAGGCTTCGGCCACAATAGCATTATTCACTATTAAATAAAAATCAAATCACCTAATCTCTTAATTATTAAATTGGGCCTGCATCATTGTGGTCGACGCTTAATCAAAGTGTGAATGAAGAATAGAAGAAGAGTCTGAATATTGAATTCTGTGTTTTTAAACTCGTTGGACCTGCTTGACCCCATCGACATAGAATTTGACCCATTTCATAACTTCTCGAGAGGGAGATGAAATACATTCGGAAAAGGAATTCTAATACCAGAATTGTATAATATTGATTATTAAATTAAAATTAAAATTTTAAATATTTAATCATTTTTATTTTATAATTTAATTTAATTTGAATGGTAAAGTATAATTCTCGTTACATTTACACCACTGTTTGGTTTGCAGATTGATTTTTTTTTTTTTTGGCGATTAATAGATGTTGGAAAAAAAACCCGGACTGACCATTAAATCTCGGATTTGAATTTCGGGTTTTTAGGGTTTAGCCCGAAATAAAACCCGAAATAGTGGAATTTCCCGCCAAAGGTCAATCTGGAGTCTTCTTCCAAACGCCTCTCAGCTATTTCAATTACTACTTTTTTCTCTTCGATTTGGATAGCCGTTTCGCCGTCCTTCCTCTTCCAGCACCTGCGATCAACGACAGCTACTACGATGGTAAGTCGATGACTCCAAACCTTCATTTTCGTCTGTAATGTTATGTTAGTCGATCAAATCGATTTCATTTCTCCATTTTTAGACTGCTTTCAGTTTTTCCAGTTATGATTTCCGCCCGTCATCTCCAATTTCGAATTGGAATTTCATTTTTAGGGCTTACATTACATGTTATTGTTCTCACAATATCATATCTAAAATTTCTGTTATCGATTTCACTCGTTTCCGATTGAGGTAGCGTTTGGCTTCCGGGAAATTTTCAGGAAATGAAATTAATGGAAATAAGAAATTTGCGGTAAGGTTTCAAGCGACATAATGGTATAAACATGATTTTCTACCATTTTACTCCTTTTTTTTTCTCGGCTGTCAAACAGACGATATGGTCGAATTCGTGTTGTGTCTAATTGCCTCGTATTTTGCTTACTTTTCAACCTGCTGGATTTATTATTACTGACTATTACTAGATTTCCTACATAAAAGAGCATATGAATTAAGTTCTCCGTTTGGTTATATAATCCCAAAATGGTAAAATAGGCCGGATCTGCAAAAGATTGTGTTTGTTTACTGGTTTATAAATCCATACAGCTTATTTCTCACAATTCGCATTCAGTATGCACTTTATAATATAGTTACATAAACTAGCATATTGGCATGAGAAATTAGAGATGATGGAAAAAACAGCAAAGTTGTTTTAAGAAATTTTGAATGTCCATACCTGGACAAATTCCCTTTTCCCTTTTGTTTTGATGTTATGCCCCTTGCAACATTTTAGTGGGTTAAAATTTCCCTTGAATTAAATGTTTTTGATGACTTTTATGCAGTCAAAGAAACGTGGTCTGTCATTGGAAGAGAAGCGTGAGAAGATTCTTCAGATTTTTTATGAGTCACAAGATTTCTTCCTTGTGAGTATATGGCAGCGTTCTATTTTGAATTGGGATTCTACAAGTTACTTAGCTTTTGGCATCAGTTTCATTTAAGTACATGAATGAACTTTTATACTTGTTGAATGCCATTGTTTCGTACACGTATGCTCTCTGATTTCTTTGCATTTTAACTAAAGTTATTACAAATGGAGAAGAGGAATGTTACATGCACTGTTGTTTTATTGTCAAGAGGATGTTAGAAATCAAAAGGACTACAGCCACCAGAGAACCTAACTGTCTTTCATTTCCTTCTTTTCTTTTCCCATCCTTTCTAGTCAAGTATCTTTAATGGAAGATCCTGGTTTCAGAAAGTTAAGATATTGCTTTGGGAAGTTATACTTTTCCTTGTTAGTAGCAACTAGCAACATTGAAATATTTTTATATATTAATGCAACAGAGCATATGCCTAAATGAACAGTGATTGATTAATGCATCTTTATCATTTTAGCTGAAAGAGCTTGAGAAGTTGGGACCTAGGAAAGGTGTAATCACCCAATCTGTGAAAGATGTTGTCCAGAGTTTGGTGGATGATGATCTTGTTTCAAAGGACAAGATAGGAACATCTGTGAGTAAAATTTACTTATAATATTGTCCTGAATTATGGTCTAGTTTCTTCTCTTTGTAGCATGAAATATTTGCACTCAAACCTGTGATGTTATGCGCAGCTAACTGTTCTAATGATTTGGAAATTCCAGGTATACTTTTGGAGTCTTCCTAGCTGTGCTGGAAACCAGGTAAGTTTTTCCTTTTAACATGAATTTAGTATATAAATGTCTGGATACAGTTTTCAACTCAATAGTGATAAATTTTCTTCAATAGCTGAGGAATGTGTACCAGAAACTTGAATCAGATCTTCATAGCAGTAAAAAGCGGCATGCTGAACTTGTTGATCAGTGCAATGCATTAAAGAAGGGGCGAGAAGAATCTGTAAGTATTTCAGGTTGTTTTTGGCCGAAAAGTATTTTGAGTTAATCTACTAGTTTGATTGTTTGATTTAATTTTACCATGTTGCCATGAACTAATTTAGGATTTTGTTTAATGTTTAACACCTAAACTTGTTATTTTACCAGGACGAAAGGGAGCAGGCCTTAGCTGAACTAAAAGCTATTGAACTGAAGCATAATGAGCTGAAGGTTGGATTATATCTGGATCCTTCATCATGTGTCAACCAATATTAGAAGCTTGTTTATGTTTCTAACAATCTGTTCCTTCACAGGAGGAGATGGGACAGTATGCTGACAATGATCCCGCAGCATTTGAAGCAATGAGTTAAGCATAGCTTATTTTCAACCGAGATATAGTTCCATTATAGAACACCACTCGTACCTAAGATTTGTCATTATGTAAAAGAAACCTGGGTTCCTTGGTTTGACCTGTTTCAGGGGCACTGATTCTCTTTTTTTTATTTTGGCAGAGAAAGCAACTGAAGTTGCACATGCAGCAGCTAACAGATGGACAGGTTCTATGTTTTACTTAATATCTGTTCGTTTTTCCATCCCTTTACTTCATATACTGTAGTAACTTAGTCTTTATGCATGAATTTTCATGTGTTTTGTCCTTGCACCCTCATTCCGAGAAAAACTTCTTTGATATTCTATGAATTTCTAAATAATTGGTGGGGGGGAAATAATCTGCAGACAACATCTTTACACTGCGACAGTGGTGCTCCAACAACTTTCCTCAAGCCAAAGAACAGCTTGAGCATTTGTACAAAGAGGTACCTCTATTGCTTCCTTCAAGCATTTTGCTAAAAGTTGATCATTTAAGTGAAAATATCCCCCCACGATCAACGCAATGGTCTCGTTTCTGTTTGTGCCCGTACACTATCCAATGGGCACACGGAGCATATAGCTTTATCGCCAGCCATATCATGTATCTTTACATTGAGCACCCACGATGGTTCTGTCTGTTTATATCCAAAATGCCTTAGAATGGTGCAACTAAGCCCTTTAAGGTTGTTTCTTTTGAGGAGTGAGACATAACAAATCTATGTGACTGTGATTGCCACTGTGCATCATGTGAAATTTAGCCACAAAAGGAAAAATAGGAAAACTCCTATTAAACCTGGAAACGATATTCTATTTTTACTATTCCATGTTAAGATTGTTTGTCTATGGACTTGACCCCACTGCTCCTTATTAGTGAAACACATGCTCGCTTCTAGGCTTGTATTGTTCCGCTGGTTTCTCATCCTGCACTAAGACATCTTTCTTTCTAAATTGTACTGCAGATAGGGATAACAGATGATTTTGACTATTTGGAGTCATCACTTGTTGTTCCACTCAGTTCAGTTGGTGATTAGTGAGGGGACGGCAAGTTGGCAATCCTTTGTCGATATCAATCAAAAATCACTCTTGTAAACAGGAATGTTTGTGTACAATCCATTCCTATTCGCTGCATCATCACTTTTCTCCTTTAGCTCCTTGCTACCTGGATGCAGATGCTTGGTGAAATGAAACTGGAATCCTAATTCAAAGCTTCTATTTTTAGACTATTTGTTCCACTATTCACATTATTGAATCTTTTCATATTGTTGAGAGTGATCGCCTACGCGCCACTTAGGCACCAATTAAGCACTAGGTGGTGCTCTCCTGCCTTGGGCACTAGGCGGTAGGCTTAAGACATTTCTTCCATTTTTTGGGGTTTTTTGTTTTATTTTTGCATTTAGCACTAGGCAGTAGTTCAATGCCCAACGCCACACAACGCCTTCTGCAATTTTACTTTTCATTGTGAGGAATTATCTAAATTAATATATATACATATTTAATAATATGTTATTATTAAAATATTTTAATTTCATATAAAAAATTATAATAATAAAAGATTTTGTTATGAAATTAAGTTATATATTTATCAACTTCATATCTAATTCATAACGATTTAATTCAAAAACAAGAACTAGGGGTGATTGGTTGCTAAGTCATTTTTCTTTTAATTTTTTTAAAATTGTTTTCCTTGTGATATTATTTATATATTTTTATAAATTACTATTATAACACAAAAAATGAGTAAAAGTAATATTTTTATTTTTTACTTTTTATAATATAATTTTTAACTTGTAAACCATTCTTCTTACATTTTTTGAAAGAAAAAATTTCTCTTTATTATTTTTTTTCAATATTTAACCTACTTAACAACTTTTTTATTAACTCTTCATGTATAAATTGCTTATCAAATATGAAAAAATTAACAATTTAATAAAATACTATAAAACTTGTCAATTTCCCATTTAGTACTTTTTCTAACTCCTTTTTTTTTTTGGTTTCCACTTTTTCTAACTCCTTTCTTAATAAGAATTTAGTCAAATCTCTTATTGGCATCACGCTTTTTTTTTTTTACTCTAAAATTAATAGCCACATCTTTTATTTACATTCTTATTTTGTTGATTATATAAAATTTTTTATAAATTTCAAATTATAAATGATATTAATTAAAAGCAAAAATTATAAAAAAAATTAAAAAATAATATAAAAAGTACAAATAAAAAAATTGGACCACAAAAATTTTCCTTAAAAAGTTCGCCCTATGACTGAACAGCCCTATCCGTTGAATTCACTGTCACTTACCAAAGCTAAACCGTCCAAATTCATTTTTGAAGTTTGAAAACCGCATGGGGCGGGGCTTCTCATTGCTACTAAAAATAATACCGTTTATGTAATCTATACGACTTGAAATATAAATTAAAAATATAATAAATATATATATTTTATAATTAATTTATATAAAAATTAACTTTTATTTTAATACTAATATTATAAGAACCGTTTTAATTAATTAATTAAATTTAAGTTAATTTTTATATAAATTAATTATAAAAAATATATATTTATTACATCATTTATTTATACCCTAAATATGGATAGAAAAATCCAAAATAATATTACAAGAAATTCATTTTTGCAGGTGGCAACTCACAAATACCCATCCCTTGGAGTAAGGTCCACCGTGCTGTGCACAACTCAGAAACACCTAGGTTCTGAATGTGCAGCATCATCCACCTTACACGTGGCGTCGATCCTACGCTGTCACCTTACATCCTCTTTCAAGCCAGAGTGACCGTTTCTCTGTTGAGATTCTTGAGTGAGTGAGACTCTTCCCAATTCCCATTCTCTTATCTCCTACTTAACCCCCAAAATCTGGTGGTTCCCAAATCCAAACAGCCGCAGCAAAGCTTAGAGATTCAGAAGATCGAGTCTACAATGGAGTTGTTCCCAGTTCAATTCTTTGTAATGGAGGTTTCCGTGCTTGCACTGGCTATTGTTCTCCCTTCCATCGGCGCTGAAAGTCCGGCACCTGCTCCTGCTCCTACAACTACAAGCGACGGTATTCTCCCTTCTCTTCTCTCTTCTTGCCACAATCTGCATTCATTTTCTTGTGAAATTCGTAAGGAAAATGATTCTAAGCTTCTGAATTTTGGGTAGTTTGTAAATGTGATTGAGTTGTTTGGCAATGGCAGGAGTAACAGTTGATCAGGGAGTTGCGTATGTTTTAATGCTGCTAGCTCTGGTGATCACATACATCGTTCACTAGCCTCAATTCATAGAAAAAGGGAGAAGGTTAAATGCTTGATTTGGTCCTTTAACTTTAAGAAATGAACATTTTTGGTCCCTCAACAATTTTTTGCACTTTTTTGATCCCTCAACTATACGAAATGCACTCTGTTAGTCCTTCTG